TGTGCTTGCATTAGAAGAGATTTGCAGTCAAATCCAAGGTTATTATTTTTCTCTCCATTAGTTGAAGTGTTGGTGCACAGCCGTAGTCTTGAAAACAGCGTGGAAATTTTATATGGAGTAACTGTTCTTCTTGGGTAGGTTTACTTGTGTGTGAAGTTCTTTCCAAGTTATCACACCACAGTCGATGATGAAGTGCTAAGCAGGATTTGGCTGCGCTCAAAAATGGCACGCTGAAGTGAAGTGGGCTCTCTGGAGCGAGCTAACAATCCCAGCAAGAATCCCTGTGTCTTAGTGCTATGAGGCTTTCATGTTTTTCAAACTGTAACTCGGGGATGTGAAAGAACAACACAAAATTTCTATCCGTAAAATATTAGAAAAGTTTGCTAACAAACTTTTGGGAACAAATTAGGTTACCTATTAACCTCAGTAACCTCAAATGTTATGCTTGTACCTCAGAGGTATAGTTCATAAGAATAATTTGGAACAATAAATTTGGCTTTGTGACGTTTGATAATCCGTTACAAAGAGGAAGAATTTGAAAATGTTTCACAGAAGTCAGATGTTACTGTAATGCCAGATCATCAGACATGTCTAGTGATCATACTCACGTGTTTACAGTTTTGTAAGAGAACCAAAACTGGTGTAATGCGTACAGGATTACGGATAATGGGAACTGCAACTAGGGGACGGAGCAGTCTGATTCATTGGTGCGAATGACTGACAACAGCATAGCTGTAGCAGCTCCTCTTCCCGCGCCTCTGCCCACCCGGACACTTCAGATCCTTAATATCAAGGAAGCTTGAGTGGATTTTGATTTTTCTATAAAACAGCAAGCTGCGCTTGCAGACCAGAAGTCGCTTGCTGTAGCTGCCCGACGATAACCTCTGCTGGCTCCTGAATCAGAAGCCTTATGTGAAGCAGAAGAAATAACACATTCTTTGAGTATTTTGGTGTTTAAATTCCATACCAACTTGAGATAGAAGACTGTGAGGCTCAAAGTTGAACTGTGAAGAAGGTATATTGGTAGGAAAAAATATGTGCTTCCCAAGACTAAGAAAACCATAGGATTCCCTTTAGGATCTCACAGGCAAATTACTGCTTTCTTTGCGTTACTGCTTTAACTAAGTTCAGTGTCTAATTTCTTGGATCACGAGATGTATTGCACATTGTAGAACAACTTGTAACAATTGTTATGAAGTGTATTGTGCTCTGCCATGATAAAGCAAATTGAAAAACCTATGTGAAGAAATGCTTTCAGAAAGGAAAGACAATTAGGTGTGTATCGGAATTTCCTATGAAAGAGATTTTCAACTCAAGGTGCCTTGTTCAAGAGATGTAGATTAGGAAGATTCATCTGTCAAGCTGTAAATTGAGGAAATCAATTTATTGTATCTAGAAAACTGTTTATTAAGTATGAGATACGTTCCTAGTTAATGAATATTAAATGAACCCTGGACATAAACCAGATGTTCTTAACAGCGTGCAGTTTTCTTTAAACGGTTGTAAATGATGTAGTCTTAAATATTGCATTGTACGGTGGGAATTGCTGTTTTAAAAGCATGCCTGATTGAAAGTGATAGGAAATGTGCGTACACGCGTGTGTACACACACAGACAGTGTAGCGGTGCGCAGCTGGAATTGTCGGTAGTGAATCTGATTACCGTAGCCACAGTTTTTCCTCTTCTTGTGATCGTCTATAAGGTTTCTTGAAAATAATAGTGGTTTAGCTACAGCTTCAAATCTATCCTAATGATTTTTGTCTGAGAACTTCCACAGAATTTCTTTTTTTCTAGCAACAGTTTACATTTTCCTTGGAAATTTCTAGTATAAGGGTTTGGTGTGATTTTTTTTTTTTTTTTTTTTTTTTTTTAATATCACGTGTGAATCGGTCTGGTCAGGTTTATGTGTATGTGAGTATGTACATATGCATATAGGTATATAATAATGCTAAAAGTTTTAGGGGTCAAAATCCACCCTTTTTCTGACTCTCCAGGGGAACCATCTGGAATCACCGAGTCAGGTTTCTTGAAGAAAGAGTCCTGAGCTCCTGGACATCATTCACCATTTGGAATGCTGGCAAGCAAGGCAAGAGGCTCTACAGAAGCTTGTCACCAGCTAATCGGAAAAAGGTGAGCTAGTAAGAGTGGGTAACATCTGTACAAAACCCACTTTCTTCTCTTTCATATGCCTCCTTGCTGCTTCTGACATAACGTAGCAAGATTTTCTCAAGGTACTGTGTCCCCAAAGTACTAGTCGATGATTAATATAAATTGGGGAAATTCTCAATATTCTGCATAATGTATTTCTTCTTTTAAAATGCTATATTACTTTATTTAGGGCACGTGGTATCTATGTAGTGCAACATATGCACCCCTGTTCCTGCTTGCTGGTGGCTAAGCATAGTCAGAGGTTAGACACACGATACAACTGTTTCTGGCCTGCTGCTGTGTAACCATCCATGTAGTAGCCAGGTACCCCAGGTGAGTAGAATAACTCTTTATTTGGATGGTATAATACTAAACTACCTTGTCCGGGATTATTCATACGTGTATGATATTTGCCCAGTTCCTAAGTGGCTACTGGACAGGTCCCTGTCGGAGGCTGATCAGCCTGGTTTGTATTCGGAGGAGTAGTTGTACTATAACTCCCTTTTGAAAAGCTCGATTGTTTAAAAATAGGGGTGGGGTGCGGGGTGAAGAGGCGAGAAGAGACTATTGCACATGACGGACTAATTCAATTTACAATCAATTGAAAATGTGGAGGTTACTTATATTTGGCAATGGCAGATATTTCTCAGGAGAGATGTGTCTGAGGGTTTAAATACCTTACTTTTATAGCATTTTCTTTTGTGTAATAACTTTTTGTTAGATAAAGGCTTTAGGGCTAATGTCAAATGGCTGTTTCTTATAAAGAGCCACAGAACATTCATTTTATTACCAAATGTGTTTTCTTTTCTTAAAAATATGGATGGGAAGACAAAATGACAAATATATATATAAACTTGATTAATGTTGTGGCTGAGACCACACACATATTAAAAAAAAAAAAAAAAAAAAAAAAGAAATTTGTATACCCATAGTTGAAATTACTGAATAGACATGGGAGACACTCGTACAGTAAATACACAACACAAGAATTGAACCTGAGTTTCCTGCTTGATATTCCAATGCCATCCCTCTTTCGTTGCCAGCCCGTGGCAGTGGGTGAACTGTATGAAGAAAGAAGATTAAATGCGAGGTGTCTCCAATCACCTCGCTTCACTCAGAGAGGACAGACCTGTCCATTAAATGTATTGAGTTATCTTGGTCATGCAGCGCAGTGTGCACACGACTTTGGGCGGGGGGGTATGAAAATGTTCTCTTTCGTTAGTATTTTGCAGAGCACTTTGTGAATTCCACTGACTTGCTAGCAACCGTTGCACTCTTCTGTCTGCAAAATAATGAGAATTTTAAAATAAATTCCAAGGGGAGAGATGGCAGCTTGTCTGGTAGATTTTTGAGATGTTAAGGAAAAAGTAGACTATGTTGTTTTTGTAGCAGTGTCTCACCATCTTAGGTGTTGGGTTTTTCTGGTTTTGGTTTTCTAGCTTTTTTTGTGCCAAGCCAAAAAGGAGATTAAAGTAGAACATGGAGATACTAAGGTAGAACACCTCTCTAGCTTTGGGTTACGTTTGCCACCTACTTCTATAGGTGACTCAATCAGGACTTCACATCCTCTTCAGCAAACACAATGGTAATTTGAAGATGTCACTGCAGAGATGATAAAAAGGGCAAGAGAAAAACACTGTTGGTGTTTTCTTGCCATTTTTCTGCCAAAGAACCAAAGCTTACCTCTTTTTCAGTCAGGAACACCCTTCCTTCCCCAGTATGCTAGCACTGACGGTGTGGTTCTAATTAGCTGGGTCTTGACGTTCTTTCCAGCTGACCTTTACATAACGTTTGCTTTGGCAGTGTTGCAGGCCATGATACTATTTTGCTTCTGTCAAGGTTACAACTGCACATATTCCAGTATGCTTTAGTTTGATATTTAAATATTGTATTGAGCATTAACCCATTAATTACTGGATACTATACCAGACACATTTAGCAAGCTTAGATGCCAGATGCAATTGCGCATGCCAAGTGTGACTCATTTTGCAAACGTACTGCAGAAAACTACTGCTAAAATGCAGTCACAGTCTGATCCTTAATACCTTATATAGAGCAATCAAACTTTATCCACTGTCTGACGTGTTATCTGAAGTCTGCAGAGGTTTTCTCAACAACCAGCGAAGAGGAATAGCTTCAGAAAGTGACTTGTGTCATCCCAAGTGAGAGTAGAGGCCTAGCTTTTAGATACCACTAATTTCATCAGACGTTAGCTCTCTGTAGTGATTAAAGCACTAGTTTTATGTAGTTGTTCAGGCTCGTTATGATTGCCATCGTAACTTCCTAGCTTTTCCAAAAGCGAGATCCCAAGTCTATCCATCTCAGTCAGAACTGAAGCTTAGATGATACCCTAATGTTTCATAGTAAGTCATTGGCAAAGGGCTGTAGAAGTAGTTAAAACATCTCACTTCTCCCAGTGCTAATCAAAGGATTATGCTGCTGGAGTTTCAGGAAATAAATTCATAAAATTTGCAGTGGGTAATTCATGGCAGTTTTCATTTTATTCTAAATCAATAACAGTAAAAGGGGGCTAGTTAAACTCCACGTTATAATTTTCCTCAAAAATCCTTCAGGTATTTTGTGACTAATTTTCAACTCTTGCCAAAGACTCTAAAATCCCATATGAACAAAGGCGGTAAATAGTTGCTGCTTCATCCTTTCCAGCCCTAAAAAACAATAAAATACTTTTCCTGTATTCCTTTAAAGACTACCTGAACAAGACTTAAGCTTTCGTGTATTCTGTTAGTTATGAGAACACTAGAGATTCAGTATCATTTTGAATCTACAAGTAGAATCTAGTGTTGTCTTGTAAATGGAGGCCTTGGGATATGAATTCATCAATTATGTAAAACAGACACCTTTGAAATACAATTCTGAAATCCCCTTAAGAGAAAATATGATGTATTACATCAATACAGTTACCATTTTCTTCTCTGAAGGTCCCGTTGTGTAAAACGGTGTGATCTTAACAGGTCTAACACACTTTGAAATGCAGGTAAAATTGCCAAAATAAGCTGTATAATTTAACTAAGCTGTATAATTTAACTGTCTAAATGTAATTTTAGTTGGTTTTATACTTTAAGTCGGTTTAGACTCTTGAAAATTTCACCTGTTGCTGCATCCTTTTATTGAGATTCAGAATATCATTAGGTGTCCTGAGACTGATTTTGCTTGGAATGTGGAGCTCCAGCAGGGTTGTTTTCGAAATCCCCCCCCAAACAACACCCTATTACACACAGCTTGTATTATTTTCTAATTGTGAAAAAAAACTAAACTCTACTAAATCTTCAGGAAGAGAATTAATTAGTTTGAACTGTCAAGCTTAGGGCATGTAAGAAAACATCTTTTTCATAAAAGAACATTTCTAGTATTTTTAGAACCTGATAAACAAAGCAATTGTATTTCTTATACTGACTAGGTTTTGTGGGATGTTTGAAAAGTATAAATGTGCTGCCTGCCGGACAGCATTGTTTCTAGAGCGGTCTGTGTACGTTCATACTGACTAACAAATGATTACTTTAGTCTGTTTGGAAAACAATCTGAATTTGAATTATGGCTATGTTAACAGAGAAAAGGACACCTAAGCAATATTCTCTCTTTTCCTGCAGACATCTCTATGGCGAATATTCAAATAATGCTTTGTCTCCAAAGAGTTCGGGCAGGAATCCAAGGCTCAGTATTTTGGCTAAACAGCAACACAAGAAAAAAATTATTCAACTAGTAGGTTTTTTATGAATTAATTACCAGGATCTCCGTATTCTTAGGGAAATTCAGTTTCCTGGCTGTCCCCTTCTTGAGTCACGCAGTTGACAGTGGTTCAGTATTAGCATTTCTGCAAGAATGAAGTCGAACAGACCTTTTTTGTTTAAAACACATCCGTCTTGTCTATAATTTGCAGCTGAAGATGGAAACCAAATGTTTTTGGGATGCTACATGTGCCTGGAGGGTTTCTGAGCTGTCTTGTCTGCTCTTTTATTCTCCATCAAACTTTAGCTAAAAGGAGAACTTCAGCATTAACATTTTGTGTCATTTCCGATCGCTGAAAATAGTGCTCAAGTAGCTAACAGAAAAGGAGGGGGAAAGGACGAAATAAGCGTCAGCTAATTAGTGGCATGGAAACAGTGTGGTACACAGCCAGCCCATGAAGTTTTCTCTATGACAACCCTATCCACCAGCGGCAAACTCGAAAGCTTCCAGAAAGTATTTTGTACACCCTTTTTCCTAGCTCATTAACCATTTAAAATCATCTGATAGCTTCTCTTCCCCTTTTTCTAAGAGCAACATCACTAAACCATGTACTTCAACTGTGAGCCTTCAGCTCGCTCACAAAAGCAAGAAATGTTTAAGTTCTTTAGCATTTTAACTACTCTAAAGTACGCGAGTAGCAGTGTGAGAGACTGAAGTGGGGACATGTAAAAGCAAAGAAACATAAATAAAGGGAAGAATATTACACCCACCTTGGCTGTGGAGCAAAAGATAGAACAACAAGGTGAAAGTGAGTTAAAAGAGAGCCTATAGAACAAGGAGAGAGAGAGAAAATTTGAAAGCTTCGGTTAAATCCAGGTAAAAAAGAACCCTAAAATGACATGGGGTAAAATAGAGGCTTTCTTTTGGACTGTGGCCATTACTTGACGCTGAAATGGGGCAGGGAAATCTCCCTGCTGCTTCCATTCAGGAAGGCGGGCTTTTGGCGGCGTCCGTTTTGCCAGTACAGAGGCACGACACTTGAAGAGTTACTGGCCTGACGAACGTAGTTACCTGTTCCAGAGACATGAGACACTTGCACGTTGTTACGTACAAAGGCAGTTGTGTGTAATAAGGGAAATTTTGTATGTACGATATTTAGAAGCTTATTTTGCGTGTTGGATTCTGGTATTGAAATTCTCTTGAGCAACTTTATTATGTGTATGTGCAAAGAGGGAAGATGCTGCTGTCTTTAATGGAATAGTGTCTTTAAGTGGAGTCACGAGATGCATGCTTGG